TAATGTGCCGAGCTCACCAAATTGCAGAATTGCACACAGCTCTCACAGGTAATGTGCAGATAGAAAAGGCTAAACATCAAGAAGGTTGCAACGGCTTGCTCTCCAACATCAGTGCTGCGACCTTGAAGATTTGCAACTATCACGTTCGAGTGCTGCAACTTGAAAAGTGTACCTCTGCTGCACCAGGACAAGCTCCCAAACCGCTGCGAAATCTGCGGAACATTCGTTGCTATCTCTCTAGGGTCCATCCCCACAGACTACGTGCCCGCCATCGTTCGTGGCCAAGCCAAAGCTCAAACTGCATCAGGGCGTATGGACGTTGACGACTTGTTGTCTGGATGAAAAGGGGGCGCGCCAAAGCGGATGTTTCAGAATCAGCAAAGCATCGCAGGCATTTCTAGGTAGATTGAAATGTGATGTTTCTTGGACATTCTTCTTGACACATTTGGACGTCGATCCGTATACCAGCGACTGCCAGGATTGAGTGCGGGAAAAAACGCACTACTGCGTCCAACGAACTATCAACAGGCACGAGTCACCGCGAGAATCTCCAGTTGTGAAATGATTGCTCCAGTTTTGGTAAATCCCCTACACATTGAGATTTATCTCGTTTGTCACGAAAGGTTGCCTCAGCAACCTTGAGTTTGATCAGCTTTAGCTGTGGGGCTGGTTCTGGCCAGATGACCTGATTTTGGGCTCCCGACAATTACGTTTGGTGGAGGAGGGGGGTGCTTTGCTTGTGCTCCTCTGGTCGGTTGCTCTCTTCCTGCTCCTTTGGTTGGTCTTGCCTGTTGCTTTGCTTGTGCTGCTGCTTCCCTGGTGCCTTGCTTGTGCTCCTGTGGTTGGTTGCTTTGTTCCTGCTCCTTTGGTTGGTTTTGCAGACCTTCGTTGCCGCTCCTCTGGCCACTCTGGAGACAACCACAACGCACAACCGAGGACCCAAGCAAGATCGAGAACCACACGAGTCACGACCATGGCAACATGCCCCTCAGCCTGGCTTGTAGACCAGTTGCTTTTGCTTTGCTGCTGCTGCTGCTGCTGCTGTTTCCTTGGTGCCCTGTTTGCCCCCCCGCGGGGCTTGCGGGTTCAACGCCGCGCGGTGGCGTGGTCGAGCCTGCTCGTGCATTTGCGGCTGCTGTTGTTTTGCTTGTGCTGCTGCTTCCCTGGTGCTTTGCTGGTGCTCCCGTGGTCGGTTGTTTTGTTCCTGCTCCTTTGGTTGGTTTTGCCTGTTGCTTTGCTTGTGCTGCTGCTTCCCTGGTGCTTTGCTTGTGCTCCTGTGATTGGTTGCTTTGTTCCTGCTCCTGTGGTTCGTTTTGCAGACCTTCGTTGCCGCTCCTCTTGGCACTTTGGCGACAACCACAACGCACAACCGGAGGACCCAAGCAAGATCGAGAACCAATGACTCACGACCGTGGCAACATGCCCCTCAGCATGGCTTGTAGACACAGGACGGAGATGTCGCTAGTGTCCACCCTTTCGTCCACCCCTTTTCTCAAGTTTCTTTTGTGACGCGATTTCATCCGCTGTCGGCGCGGTTTGGTCGCGGCGTGGTTGGCTGTGATCGATGAAGTCATCGATGAATTCATGAATGTTTTTGTTTTTATCAGTATCACCTACAACATAAATATCTATATTTATATATATTATATATATGATAACATAGTTTTAAGATTCTACGCAGCAGGAGCAGCAGCAGCCCACCACCACCACCACCACCAGCAGCCGCTTTCCGACCCTGGCAGGTGTGGATCAGCTGGAATCCGGCTTGGAGCAGTTTCACCACAAGTTCCGGTCAAATGCGTCAAATACTCCTAGATGTTGGAGTCGATGCGTTTTGATAATTTGTGCGTCCCAGCTTGGCGAATTCTTTTGATAAGTCAATGCGATGTTGCGTCCTGCTTGCGTTTGACAGGTCATTCTTGAGAGGTTGTCACAAAAAATTGTTATCCAAATGTGGTGGCGCCAATCATGTTACAGTGGGAACTGACATGAATGTTGGGGTTGCACTGACTTCTGCGACCCGGTGTATGGGCCTTTGAGTTTTTGCACACAGAAAGAGCCCTTTATCACAACAGATGCTTTTTGCATAATCGGAGCCTATTCCTCATGCACCACAAGCGGACGCAAACAACCCAGGCGACCAGTGACTTTCAGAGAGTTTTTGAACATTTTTACATCTTTGAACAGTCAGTGGATATGAACTGCCAAATCAATTTTTTGCCCTTGCACACACACACACGCAGTTGAAATCTTGAGCTAAATGAGGCTGGATTTGAAGCTTTTCAAAGAGCTCCAGATTTGGTGGCAGCTTGCTTGGACGACCCGAAGATGAAGCCACCTGAGCCCTTCATAGTCTTGAAGGATTTTCCTTATTTCGCAGAGATCCTCGCAGATCCTCGTTTCGTTTTGAGTCACCACAAGCTTCTTTCGAGTTGCTTTGCATCGAAATACACTATTTTCACATATTTTCACCACAAGCGTTGCATTGCTCGATTTGCTGTTTAGGTTGGCAGCTACTTTCATGCGGATGATCAACGAAGCAATCACACACTCTTACGTCAAGTGTTGCGACCTATGGCAAACACAGGTCAATGCAGTACATGGCTAAGCCAAAGAAGGCAACTGCGTAGGAAGGAAAAAGCCAAGCGCAGTGTCCGTGCTCTGAGGAAATCTTCATTTTGATTGGGTCTGCGCATTCGTGTTTACAAGGGGGGCAACATATGTCACAACCTGGATCCATAAATTTCATGTTTTAGCCCTTGTACGGCGTCCCATTGTAAAGTCAATGAAAAACAGAATTTTAATGCTTTCCCTTTGAATCTTGCATGTGCGTCTACATGGTGGACTACAGTTTTCTTCCTCTAGGAAATACTGCTGGCCATATTGTTCGGAGATCTCATTTTTGAACATTGCTCTGTTTGGGGTCTACGCTGCTATAATATTGACATGTCCTTTTGACTATCGTCTGAGAAGCTACTTCAAGTTACAAGGGTTTGGCAGTTTTGGTATCGACCACCAGTCGGTTGACATTGGAGCATCCCGCAGCCGGCATAAAGTGCTGGAAGGTGATGTGGAAAGCGCGCTCGAGCCAATGGTCGGATGCTCGGCGGTATAGGGCCCAAATAGGCGGTAGCGGTACGGCTGAAGCAGCATCAGCCATCAGCCGTTCTGGTCAGCCGGAAATCCACGCCAACAACATGAAACAACTGGATGTTTCCCCCAGTCCCAACGACTCCAGATGTAGAGGATCTCTCAAGCAGGACCATTGGAAGCACCAGTTGGTCCAATTTCAGGTGGTTGATGGGCGTTTGTTAGGCAAAGGATCGCTGCCCCAGCCAAGCACATCGCGACACTTGTACTTGAGTTGTAATCTCAAGGTTGGACTTTGGGTCTACCTGGAGTCTGCAAACGGATTCCATTTCAGAAGCAATCCAGCTTTGCAGTTCTTTGCAGTTCTTTGAGGCTTGCCCTACGAGTTTGACACGTGTTCTTCAACGTTGACAACATCACCCCTATAGAGGTATCATCAGCCCAACAAAAAACGGCTCTGGGCGTTGTTGGGCGCTGTTCAATGCCATGAAAGTACTCCAGTGGTCCCCCAATAGTACCCAAGTCCCTACAAGTCAAAGACCTCATTTTACTGGAGATGGTCATACAAGACCAATACTTATGGGGCCAGGTTTTACTGGGTCAGACTGGACTTGTCAGGAATATTTTGACCGATTCAGTACAATCCTCAACCATAGACATGCGGTCTCTGAAGGCTCCAGAGGACACGTTCAACTGGGCGAGTGCCGAAATGTGCCGAACAGAACTTCCGTTCTGACTCATGTTGAGAATCCACCCTAAAATGTGACAAACTTGGACTCTAAAGGCGGAAAGCAGAAACGATGCGCAGCTTCGCTGCAGCTTTGTTGCATCAGACCTGGCCACGATCCTCCGCGCCGGGCGCCGCCCGATCGCCGCCCTCCACCGTCTCGCTCGTTCGGCGCGCCTCGGTTCCTGACCCAAGGAGGGCCCTCCCTTGCTATCACTGGAAGTAGGGCCTTCAGATCAGCCGGCGGAATGTAGCGTTTGCGGCTCGGTTTGTTCCGAAGGGCGAAGCGAGCGCGGGGCGATCAGCCGGCTGTTTTTGTTCCTGCGGAATTTGCTGCTAGAGGGTGAAACGGTGTTTGGATCATGGGCCTGTCTTCTTGTGGAATACGTGGACTGGTGCATGCATGTTGCTTTCGATCAAGGTAATTACGTCGCAAGCATGTTGTGGGCAGTTCGCCAGACTTCATATTCTGTGTTGCTCAATCGTGCGTTCACTACTAGGCGCAGTCGTTTCAGGTTTCGATGCTTTTGGTTGTTTCACAACTCAAGTTCCAAGTTTTTATACTGAGTACAGTTTGGAACTTTAAAAAGCTTTTATGTTTTTTTAGCCAATGCCGAGTTCAAACCAGTGAAGAAAGGGGAACAAACGGAAAAACATGTTTCATCTTGGACTGGACATTGATGAGTCCATCTTACTTAGGGGGGTCCAAGTCTTGGCTAGTCCGAGACTGACCTCTTTGAGTTCAGGATAGAAATCCCAGATGCTCCATCTACCCATGTCCCTACAGCTCCAGTCGTACCTTCTGAGGTTCGGCGTTTGGGGTAGGTTTGGATGGTCTAAGTACCTTCTGACAAGGTATTTGGAGGCCTAGGGTGTATGGAATGTTTGGAATCTTTACATACATTGTGGTGGATTCAAGGGTGAATGTAACATGCCATACATGAGTGTTTGGGAAGGGGGTTAGACCCACAGCTAAAGGACCGGATGAGCCCAGCAGGGCTCAGATGCGATGTGCCAGCCGTACAAAGGACCATAGCTGGAGTCTCAAAGGACCATTGGAACATGGGCTGTCGAGATTGGGTCTTTCAAATGGTTAGATCCTGAATATTCCTGAGTACTTCTTTCATACCCATCAATTGCTGAAGGGCATGAGATGGTGCCCCCCCAAATGTCTCCAAGGTCGAACCGCCGTGCATTCCGTCACGCCAAACACACGTCGACCAGGCTTCGATTCCCTGTACACCAATCCCGGTGTCTACGTCAACGACGAGGGGCTCCGCCCCTCGGAGCTGCCATTGTCATGGCGACGGAAGGGATGCGACGGACCGCAGACGGGCGACGGAACCTGCGTTCCGTAAAGGGATGCGACGGTCAACCGTAAAGGGCCGAAGCATCTGAATTGTGCCCCAAGTACAGTGGCAGTGGTTTCAGAGGTTCCATGGCACAGACCCCAAGATGTCTTTAGATGGGGTCCATATATAAACCACCGACATTGGGGTCTGCGCCATCTACTCTCAATCCACTATAATGCAGGATATGACTTCTGAACTCATTCCTGACGTTTCTGGAGGTTTGGTTGGAATGGTTTTGGGGCTGCTGTTCTTGTCCTCGAGTCCGTCCTTGACTTCAGTGGCTTGTGAGTTTGGTTTGTTGGTTCATCCACTTTTGTTGGCAACCAACACAAATTCTTCAGGGATGATCCTTTGGACGTTCCCGGTCAACAACGCGGATTGATCCCCACACTTAAGACTTGGCTTCGCTCTGAAACCAAGAGCCTGGCAGATTTTGCAGGACCGGTGCATCGTTTCGAGTTCTTTCGGGACCATCCTGTTTGGGTGTCCTGGCTGGACTACCCTACTCTATCGGGCACCCAGACAGAAATGGTCCAGGTAGTGGAGATGTTTCATGTTTGTAAAGACTGACAGGTGTGAAACATCACCAGTTGTGTGAGAAGACTAGAACTGTTTCTCAAACGTTTCTCAAACCAACAGGTGTTGTGAGGTCAGTTTACTTCAGTTCTCCAACCCCCAAAAATCCGACCGACGTCCATGTCGCTGTCGCGGCGATGGTCTGGGGGGTTGAAGATCTTCACCGCAGGTTGGGATGAACTCCCCACAACGACGGTCACCGTCACTGCCGAAAAATGGTTGCAAGTACTATAGGTTTTATAGGGTGATGTACCATTTTCTAGGGCACTTTGGAGGGTCCAGGTGGTTCCATCATGGAAATCCACGGCTATGGCTATGACTCCAAAGGAGCTTGCTGTCCACCAAAGAAAGGACCGTTGGAATCTTTGCATGGGATTGCTTGCAGATGGTTCAGATGATTATGTGTTTCTTCTTAGAAAGCTCCAAGAACAGCGCTCTATGCAGAAAGGTGTGAGTGCCAGGCCCTAATTGGCAAACCGAGAATCTCCTTGGAAAAGACTTGGCCGGACTTAGCATTATATATACTTGTAGAACTTGTAGATTAGAACGGGGCTGACATGTACAATGTACAGCGAATCATAGAGGCTAAAGAGTTGTTGCACAAGAATCCCCAAACCTAACCTAACCAGCGTTTTGTTGTTGAACAACTTGCTTCAAAGAATCTCTTAAAAACAGCCCTAAGAGTGGTCGGTTGGTTCTCAGTTGGTGTCCAATCATCAACACCATCCACCAAACAAGATTCGACTTGTCACCATCCACCTGAGAAGCCCGCTACCAAAAAAGCCAGAGACCGACTCCACACTCCAAGAACCTAAGAACCCACACTCCAAGAACCAACTGTCCTCTTCGCATCAACTTCCCAACTTCCAAACCCCAAAAATTCCATCGAAGACTTCCCGAAGGTCACCAGGGCACCACACAGCCCATGCACGCAACCCCATGCCACACCCCCATAACATAACCCTCTTCGCATAATATGCATGCGCCGCGCCTTCTCCCCACCCCCCTTCCTTCCCTCTCCTTCACCCTCTCCCATCTCTCGGCTTCGGGTCCTGGCTCTGTTCGCCTCTGGAGGCGTCTGTGGGCACTTCACTTGCCTCACCTGTGCAGAGCACGTGCAGGACGAGGCCACCGAGCGCTTCCGCGCCTGGCGCCAGCGCCGGGAGCCGCGGATCCCGAAGCCTCCGGGACCCGTGTGTCCCTTGTGCCCCGCCTGGGAGACCGGTGATGTTGGAGACGGAAGAGGAGCGGAGGACGGGTGTTTGGTAGGGGTGTACGGTGTTTTGACGGAAGCAGACTGTTTGCAGACGGTTTTCTGGTGATTGTCATGTTTTTCACAGTGCAATCCTGTGTATGTCCAATGCACGTCCAATGCACGTGTGTGTGTGTGTGTGACGTGACGTTGATGTGGTGATGTTGGTGGTTTCTCGAATGCACAGATGTATAATGAGGCTCTTGCCAACTTCTGAGGATGGTTTGTTGCATCCAGATGAAGACAACACATTTGTAATGTATGACGTAAAGAAATCAAGACCAGAGGGAACCGGTGAATGATATTAACAGATCGAACAGACGAGGCAGATCTGAAGAATAAACACATGCGAAGGGATCATGTCCGGGGTTGAAGGAGACAGCTACATGCGAAAGGAGTCCGGAGACAGTTTGAACCCATTCTTCCTATAGTGACTATAGGCCTTCCAACAAGCATGGAAGTGGAACACGGCCTCTTGGAAGACTGTTTTGCCAAATACCAAACCGATTGTCCACTTCCATGATTGTTTCAGGGAGGGTATAGTGCTGAGAGCTGCTGAGAGCTGTTGGGAAGTCAAAGATTCAGGCTATTATGTTAGTTGCTGTTTTTCGTTGAGGACTGGGTTCAGATACAAGACATCTACAGCATGCAGATTTGAGAGGAAAGTATTTTATCTTTGGCAGATAAACCATGATATGCCATGATATGCCAAACATCCACCAACATCACCATTTGGTCTGAACATCGTCACCACACCCCAAAAACGTCCTCCAACCTCGCACCTTATAAAGCCCCCGTTCAAACCGGGTTCGTTTTTTACCCCCCAAACGGTGCCGCGCCGCGCCCCACCATGCCGTCCGGTCCGTCCTCAGGTGCCGTGCCACCTTCGCCGCGGCGGTGCGGCTGAGCGATCCCTCGGTGGATCCCAAGAGCTTCTTCCGCTTGGCCTGCGTCGGGGGACCCACCCGACCGATCCCGATCCCGACCCGACCGAGCCGAGTCGGGGCCGCGCCGCGTGCACGACTCACGCGTGGCCGTAGCCCATATTTGTGGCGTGGCGCGGCGCGGCGCGTCACTCTGCCTTCCGGCGGTTTTTTGGGGTTTGGTCTCTCTGGGCGGGGTGGGAGTGCGGGAGGAGCGGAGCACGCCAAAGATAAGTAGGGAGGGCTAAGGAGCAGCGAGAGATGGCCCACATATCCCATGATCCGGATCAGCGCACCCGTCGGAATTTGAGGAACATTCATTTCTGCATGAAGACCTGGAGGCATCTGGCGATGCCAACCTGTCAGCTCGATCATGTCACTGGAAGTGTTGGATCACGTCACCTGAAGACCAGGGCCTTCAGAGGGGGGGTTTATATATTATTCAAACATATTCAAATTGTTTAGCGATTCAGTGGTGTGTATTAATTAATCACCCCTAAGGGGTCCTGGTATGTGTCACTTGGTGCTTGCACGGCGAGGGCTGATGTAGGTGCTGAACTTGATCCTGACTACCCCGTTTCTTCAAGATTGATCAAATGCAATTTGACCGGGAAGAATTGAGGAACTGGAGCAGAAGTATGCAGCAGTCACTTTGAGAGTCTTTGATATACACCCGGGAAGGTAAACATGGATCCTGAAAATGGACCTTTGGAAGATGTTTTTATATGTGTTTCCTCTACAACCCAGTGGTTTTCAGGTTCCATGTTAATCTTCCAGGGCGTACTTTGAGTAACACGCTCAGTCCCAAATTCGCCTGTGGGAAGCTTCCAGTGATTGGCAAGACTTGGCCAATTGCCTCATGCGGTGATTGGAAGGAGCATATAATAGTCAGGAGGGTCTATAAACCACCCAAAATTAATGGTGCTGGATAAACATGGCATCTCCAGACTAGCTGCTGCTTCTATGAAGGAGCTTTTAGAAGCCAGGGAACAGGCAGTTCCCCAACCCCTTGCCAGAAACCAGGCATCTGAACAAAAACACTCCAAAAAACGAGCATGTTAAAAGGATAAAGACACCTTATATACAATAAAGACACACCTTGTATATAGGAAGCTTTTCCAAGACGTAGCTCAGGTGCCGGAGTCGGGGGACGAGGTGCCTCTCTTGAAGGACCGTTTTTGGGGGCCAGCGTGAAGCGTCCGTGGGTGGTGTCTTCAGTGGGTGTGTCAACACCCAGAGGATGAAGTGTTTCGACTTTACTGTGAATCCTAGCAACTCGTCTTTTATTCGAGGGCTGAACGGCTGAACGTAGATGAAGGATCTATACTACAAATAGCGAAAACTTTAAATCCCACAGATCCCAAGCCTGGCAGCCTGTCATCCTGCTTTCCATGTCCAAACGGCGTGACACAGAAGTGGATCGTGACACAGAAGTGGATGGCACCTTCAGCCCATTCCAAGTCCAGAGGCGAAGTGACTGAGGTCCCAGAGGTCGACGTAAGACATGCTGAACGGATGTATGACATCGAATGGATGTAGGCAGAATGGATGCTGTAACAGCACCGTACAATGTCAGTTGGACCTCAATTTACTGGAGATGGTCACACAAAACCAATACTTAAGGAGGTAAAATACCATAAAATACCTAGGTTTTACTGGGTCAAACTGGACTTGTAGGGGCATGTAAACATCGCAGAATGTAAGCACTCCCTTCTTGAGTTCGACCTCGTCCGCCATGCGATGTTCTCCCTTCTTGAGCACGTCCGTTCCCCCAAACCCCACAGCCTGGATAGCCTGACCACCACGAGTAATTGACACTTGCTGGTCACGTAAGCAAGTGACTAGAATCAAAGCAAGTGAAAAGACCTTGGCATTTCTTTGCAAGGGTCCACCTGGTCAGCCCCCAATGAACTTCAAATGATTCTTTGAGTCGAAGCTGCACTAACTGAGTTCTTCTTCGAACCGCTGTAAAGGTCGAGGTTTTCTCGTCTAAAGAGTCGAACTCGTCGTCAAGAAGGGCAAGGCAACACGTAACGTCGTCAAAATGGGATTCAATCCAACAAACAACGGAACCGAAGCAGGATTGCTGATCCTGTTGCTGATTCCTATAACATTGGACGTGGTGGTATTCTACTGTTCCTCCAACTGGCAACTTGAGTCTTTTTTGTTGACAGTGTATAAGCTATAGTGCATTTACATTATAAAATATGAGGTGAATGGTCTCCGGGTCTTTGTGTGTGTGTGGCCGGAACTAGGTTCGTTGATGTTGATGTGTTGGGGTTCCAATGCATTCAGGCTTTTCCTTGGGGAAGCTAGGCTATTCGTGTTTGTGGATGTCAACCATGTCTGGGGTCCGTGAAGCAAGTTGCGAAGTCACGAATGAAGAATCCGCCTTTTCCTTGCCGGGAATGGTTGGCGCTTCGGTGGGTTTTGACTGGCCAAAATGCTTGTGCGAAGTAATGGGGTCACTTCTTCATCTGAAGAAAGGTACTCTCCCGACTTGGAAGAGAACGGTAGTGGGTGGCAGCCCCTGTCCACAGAGCATTTGATGATTGATGTGTTCGTCGGAGTGTACTTCTATACTGGATTCCCTTTTTGCTGCTTGAGGTCAGTCTTCGCGAGGTTTGGGATGGACGTGCCATCCGAGCTCATCAGACTTGGTGATTCCCTAGACTATATAGGACATATACCAGCTGCTTCCAAGGGTTTACCAATGGACAACCCTACACTGCTTATAGGTCACCATTGGACACACCTTGGAAGCGGTACGTATATGAAAAATGCAATCACCCCTCAACGATCTCATCCTATTCCGCTATGCTGCCCCCTGGCGCGTTTGTGATGCACAGGAGAAGTATGCCATTGGCGCGATCGAAGCGATCTTGCCGGTGAATGCTTCTACCTTTGTGCCGCGGTGAAATCTGGTCGAACGTTCTTCTTCGCCTGTTGACGGATACATAATACATATTCCTGGACCCGACCTCAAGTACTCTATAAGACAATGGGATCTGACTCATGGGTCCTATAAAAAAAGATAAATAATGGCAGGTACTTGTACCGTACCCATTTTCTAAGGTTTTTGAGGCTCCAGGTATATATGTGACGAAAACCTTCCCAAGAAAGTCGAAGACCACTTCTTTTTCCGATGCGTCCCAACCACGAACCCTCCCCACCAACCCGTGCGCCTTCCTTCAATGGCCATGGGCCTCTATGGATCGAACGAGGCACCGATCTTCGACCAGTTATGGCCGCAATGGTGCGAAGCCCCCGACGTTCCTTGACGCGACGTCCGCGGACGGACCTGGGGACCGTCCCGGCGCCGGCTTCCGTGCGGCGTGACCCAGTTCGGGTCGAGACGGAGAAGGAGAGGGACGGACCCGGCGGAGGTGGCGCAGTCCCCACACCGGGCGGTCTTTTTGTGCAGGGCAAAGCATGGGTGCGTGTGGTTGGAAGCGAGGGAGGTTTTGCGTGGGATTGGTTTGGAAGGTTGAAAACACATGGTCAAAGGAGCAGAAAGTGTTGGGCCTTGGGGCCTGGGGGCTGGGGGTGCGTTTGATGAAGGAAAGACTGAAAAGAAGAGCCCAACCTCAACCCCTCAACCCGTCCTGCTTTCGTCTTGACGTCTCAACCCTTCACCTTTCTGGTAAGTCCTGCAAGTCACTTCGTTCTCGCCTTGGTCGAAACGTGCGAGCTAAGGAGGGGATGAAAGAATCAGACTTCATGCGGCCTGATGGCATGTTGGCCTGGTTGAGCTCCCATATTCTAGAGAGGAAGGCGGGCGCGAGAGGGCCTTCGGGCGGAAGAAACAACGTTCGCTATGTATCAAGAGTATCGCATCCATGTTGGTCGGCATGCCTTACAAAAAGAGAAGAAGGACAATCAGGGAAGGCAAAAGATGGTTTGAAGAAGCAAAACGTAGAAGTGGCGGAAGTGGTCTCCGCTTGAAAGTGCATATGACGGTACTCTGAGGCAACCATTTCAAGAACTGGTACTTTCAACTTACTTCCCTACCACATCCACTGTTGTTTGCAGTATTATATGGATTATATAATATATATACTATACTAGTACTAGTATATTTGAGTCTGGAGCCTAGTATATCTTGCCTCATTCACTCACCAAACATCCCACACCTCGCTCGGTCCGTGCATCCGTCGTCTCCGTCGGTGCTCGGAGTTCGGGATCGAAACAACGGAGCTTGGATTCGAAGACAGAAGCTTATTGTTTGAGGCCCCCAAACAAAGAAGAGCTGGGTACCACACTGGTCTGATTTGTACTCTCCGCAGTTGGACTCATCGGGATTCACCTAAGGTCCAAGGCACATGTGTGCCCCTCCCCGCCTACTTTTGGGATCCCCCTTTTCAGGGTCAAATATTATGTCTTCCACTTCGATCTCCCCCTTTGGTGGTGCAGGGAAAGCTGGGAAGCAAAAAAGGCATCATATGCAAAACCTGTGGTTTTAGTGGACGTCTCCATCTCCATCTCCAGTGCTACTCCGTCTCCCGACTCAGTCGGGATCGCCTCTTCAGATAGATGATCAGCTGGGTGTGCCACCCTCGCTGCAGGAGGCTGAGAGTGCTCCAGCTGCAGCTGAGAGACATGTCAACTGTTTGACATGGGGAGATTGTGAGAATGTTGGTACACCCCTCCAGGCATCCTTTATATTGGTGGCATCAGAATCAGCTATAGTTTAGATGGTCGCCTACTCAGGCTCAGATGGACCATGAAGTGTGTATTTAAAGAAGTGCTAAAGAGTCTAAAGTCTGCAATTGTTTCACCCTACCAGAAGATTTGTGCCCAACATGTACTGTAGTACTTTCTCCTGCTTGTTAGAGACTCCTCCAGCATCCAAAGACAAGTTCTTGACACCAGACCTCCACTTGCCCCTGCAATTCACCTCCCGCACAGGACTGACATGGCTCACTCACACCAAACCACCTTTCGCACTGCTTTCGTGCTCTCTCCTCCGCCTTTGCCAAAAACACGGCCCGCGCGGAGCTTCACGGAGCCATGGGGCATCACCGGCCCCTCTCATCTCTGTCTCCCTATGGATCCTGTTAGCAGCACTGCTGTTCGCCTGTCAGCCTGTTAGCAGCACTGCTGTTCGGCTATTTATGGCGTCAGTCCCATCATCTTTCCACCAGCGACCTCCGAACCCCCCAACAAAGAGCCGTGGAGCGCCTCACCACCGGAGCGAGAGTCCGGCCACCTCGCCGGTGACCCGACCCGTCCGACGCTGCGACGGAGGTTGGTTTCGGCACTTCGACTTCCACGGCAATGGACATCTCTCGAAGTCCGAGCTGCTGCGGGGCATTGTGAAGAGCTACGATGCCGGGAAGCACGGATGGATGGGCAGGGCCCGGGCCTGGATGTGTGGGAGCACCGGATGGTCAGAACAAGAGGCTGTGTTGTTGGTGGGGAATGTTAGTAGACCCCAATGAAACTCTGAGTGATGATGAGGCAACTTGTTGTTTGTTATGGGTATGTTGAGAGTGACCAGTTGGGTTTCTAGACGTGAGATTTGGTAAGATTTGTTTTCGTTCAGCAGTGTTGAAAGGACAGCAAACCACGAATCCCTCCTAAAAAGGCTCTAAAAAGAACGAAGAAGAAGAAGAAGCAGAAGCAGAAGAAGAAGCAGAAGAGGAAAAGGCACCTGAGTACATTGTAGAACCTCCGTCAGCGATTCCTCCGTTGTTCCCACCAAAAAGCCTCTGTCACTCCCGAAGCGAACGCGCCCAAAACGCCGCGACCGCAGCGGGCGGAGGTCGCACAGTTGGTGCCACAGACGCCGTCGAGGAAAGCACGTACAGTCGGAGTCTACAAGCTCCGAGTCACGTGGATGTAGAGAGTCATGCGAGTCATGTGCTCGGTCAGGGAGGAGGAGGAGGGGGAGAAGTTAGTTGGTGGGGTTGGCGTGCGTTGGTGGAATGGTGGAAGAAGTTCAAGGGTTCAGGTGTTCGATGGGTTTTGACATTGAGGGCACTTGATTTTGAGCCATAAAGCCCGAAGTGGATTACAGTTAAAGTTGTAGGGCTGCAACTAGCTCCTGAGCAGGTACTCCAGTTCAATGATTGGGGAAGTCTAGGCCCTAGGCCTGACAAGCACATTGAATTTTGTTTTGGTGCGTTCATGACAAACAGTCTGACTGCCTGCATTTGATGAGCAGCTGTCCAGTCAAAAGGAGAGTTGTGAGTTCGCAGTTAATTAGTGATGGGATCTTTCGATTTTGCCACTGCTAGTATTGCTGTGTGCTGCTTGCTCCGCTCCTCCTTTTCATACCACCAGCATCACCACAGCTGCCACGGCTGCCACTGCGGAGTCATTTGGAGTTCATCTTCAAATCTCAACACTCAAGTACCGCCCAGCAAGCCAACTTCAGAACCCACACATCCAGGAGGACTCCTGGAAGGATAGGGGTGCCGAACGAGACTCCTTCCGAGGATAGGGGTATACCGATTTTCCACTCATCTTAGGTTATCTATAGGTTTAAAAAACACCGGTGCCCTATCTGTGACTCCTGTATCAACTTTCTTCTTCACCCTTGGCCTCCACCCATCGTCACCCGACATGGTCACGCATAATCAATGTGCGGCGGCACCTCCACTGCCTCCACTATGTGTTGAATATTTACCTGGAGTCGACCTGTTCGTATCGTGGAAAATGGCCACAACTAGTACTATGCCGCTAGGCCCTTTTTTTCGAGGTCATGATGGTCATGTCCCATTTTTTTAATGTACGTGAAGTCGGGTCCAGGTACGTACCTTCTTCTCTCACCTTCTCTCCTTTCTTGCCCGGTCTCTCCACCAAGGAGCTGGTCGAGGCACTGTGGGACGAGGACCGCTGGGATGCCGCGGGCGTCTCCTTCGACGACTTCGTTGGGCGGAGTGGCCTGGCGCAGCGGCTGCTGGACGCCTTTCCGCCTGACGCCCGGCGTGAGATGAGGAGATTTGAACTTGATCGAGAAAGAATGAAAACCAGGGAACTTAAACAGAGTCGGGGTGCTTTCATGTGCTTTTCGTGCTTGATGTGTGTGTGTGTGTGTGACTGTGTGGCTGTCCATACCTTTTCCCACTCTGGGTTTTCACAGGGGGAACACCATCAGAACGGCGCAGCACGCAGCTTCGGCACGCGCCGACGCAGCGCCCGACGCGCCGCACCTGAGGAACCCCGACGGTGTGGAGACTCGAAGAAGAAGTCCGAGGAGCGGCTGAGTGTCTGGGACGGATCATGCAGTGGACCGTGGGTTGGGCCTGGCCGTGGCGTTGGGCCTGGACTGGTGCGACTGGGCCATGGAATGAGGGAATGGATCCCCAGAGATCTACCTGGACCCTCCAGTTTGTACTCTGGAACAGTGGACATGACCCTGTAAGAAACCGATGCTTGTACCATCTTGTACCCATTTTCCAAGGTTTTGGAGACTCCAGGTATAGTGAAGAGGTCATTCATGGTCATTGAGTCATTCCCTTATTCCCTACGAGTTGTCAGGTATACTAGCACCAGGAGTTGGATTCACCACTTGAGCTTGGGAAACCACCAACAGACATGCGAATTGCCTGCCTTAAGCATGCAAGAGGCTGGTCCAGGATGTTTTCCATCTAGGTGGTGAAGTAACTGTACAGGTGGCTAAAGTCTAAAGTCTTAAAGTACCTTTAAACTTTAGTATCCTTTAGTGCGGTTGTCATTCATTTGTTTGATGGTTGCCTCCTGATGATCAGTGCACTAGGCACACCCATCAGTTACAACTCCAACGCTGACTGTGTCAAAGTTGGAAGCCTCGACTCGCCTCGTTTGCTTTCAAACCTTGAGGCAACTTGGGTGTCCACTTTTCGCACCGGCTCACTGTGCCTTTCAAGTCCAAGTCCAGTGTTTCTCTTGTTTAAACTGAACACCCATCGCGCTTGAAAAGCTGAACACTGGTGGATGGTCACCACATTCACGCGGTTTGTGGAACATGGCCCTTGGGGAAGACTCTAGAAATACTATGGAAATAGCGTGAACTAGTGAGTGTGAGGGTAACCTGCCAATCCTACCAATGCCCTGAGGTGTAGAAGAGGCCCTCGCAAAGGCGCGGGCCAGTGATTTTCAAACCATCGAAGAGGACGAGGCCAGAGTGTCTCGCCTTCGGAAAGTCCCCGTCAACGCGGGGGGGCGGGCAGCAGCGCTGCCTTTTGGGCCTGGCTGGTCGGCTGTGGCGTAGTTATCCCCAGATCCAGGTTTAGCCGCTTGGCCTCCCCATAATATGTTGGTCTGTATACTAGAATAAAGTTTACTGTAATGCTTATTTACATATAACTGTCATACCCGTGTCCTGCCTGAAGTTACAGACGTCGCCAATGATCGCTCACATAGCTTGTGTGCGTTTGCAAATTAAAGAGGTCCTTAAGAGTTCAACATGCTTTAAGCTGACTGACACTTGTATATCGAATTGGAGTTAACAATCAACACCTTTGACACAACTTCATAAGAATGCTCAATGTCATCTACCTTAAAAGGGGTGCATTTAGACAACCCATTCCAGCGAATCTCTTTTTTGGTGTTAAGGCGAAGGAACGTGCTGAGAAGCAGAAGAGACAGCTGGCTCCAGCACAACCGCCTGAGATGCCGGTTCCACGGCAAAGGAATGGAGGCTTTGTCTGCAGAAGTTATAGATATTGCTGCAGCATCTCCCAGATCCAAGTTGTCCACATCATACCCTTTGGTCATGGAAGGAACGTTAACTGTTAGTGAACAACTGTGGGGAGGTGTTTGAGCAAATTCACGTGGTATACATTTGCACACCTTGTTTCATGACGCATGATAGCGTCGACGTGTTTTTTTGCACTATATATACTGATGTCCAATCCGCAGTGCTTGCTTCTTTTCTAGTTCAGTTGTTTGATGGTTCCCCATATTTCCCAATAACCATCCATCCAATTAACCTTAGGGCCTTAGGAATTCCAATTAACCTTGGGTGTCCTTTGGTCTGGTTGGTCTCATCCCTTGGGACCGTCCGTTGCTGCTCCGCACCGATCCCAGGAGCTCAAGTGCTTTTGGCGTCGCTGCTCGAAGCAGCGCAGGAAGAGAGTCGTGTCGGCGCGACACAGCCACTTGGAGGGGGGACGGCTGGAGGGACCGGAGGGGGCGGGGCAGGAGACTGACGTTCTTGGGCTTGTTGGTTCTAATCATATCATATCATACCCTAGGGATCCACGACATACCTTCTCAGAAGGTACGACTGGACCCTCCTGGCACCTACAGAACAGTGCCGAACACATCACCGTACCTGAGAAGGTACTTGGATCCCTAGGGATATACATACACCAGCCTATACTATATACCCTCTAATCATATCATATCGTATCATGTATATATATACATACACCAGCCTTTATACCCTCTAATCACTAATCATAGCATCTTATATCTCATAATGCAAGTGCCTAACATCCACCCAATACGCTTTTTTGTTTTTCTCTCTCTCTATCTCTCCCTCTTTGCAGAGAATGGTGTGAGGTACATCTAATTCAAGCTGCAGAACATGACCGCTAGACTCTTCAATGCCCCGAGAAGTGGCGCTCGTCCTGCTTTCCAAAGGTCCCGGTCCCGGATAGCCACTCACATTGGGAATTCATACGAGTCCATCGTCCTGTCATGAGGTCTCCTGGTCGTAGTGAGGATTCCTTGACAGTTCTCCTCAGGACCCTCAGGATGACGATCATACTGCTGTGCCTGGTGTGCGTTCCATATAATCAAAACATCACTGCTGCATAGATAGCAGACGATAGCAGTAGCCCTGGGCCCGGGCTTGGCTCCTGACTAAAAACTCAACATGGCTGAGGCAGGCTTTGAGGTAGACTTCTTGAGGAAGGCATAGAAGGCATATGCCTGCAACTTTTCTGGAGCTTTTTCTTCAGGTAGTGACCCCATAAAATCCCAGACACTTGACCAAACACCCCAGAAAAAGCTCATATCACCATGTCCAAGTCCAGTTTTCTTCTGCCAACTTGCTACAGCACCATCACTTTGTCATTTTTCATCGCATCACTTTTTGCTTAGGCAGATTCATATCCAATGTCCCTTCTGTCGCTTGGCTGGACGTTACACCCCCGGCGTGCTCCAGCGATCGCGGAGCGAGATCTCCCAGCGACTGGCAACAGCGGTCATTGGCTCGTGAGCCTCTCCCAGTGGTTGATCGAGTTTGACGCTTCAATAGATGACACAATAGTACAAGATATACTATATATGTCATAATCCTTTCCACAGGTCCAACCAGGGAATTTCAAGGAATTCTTGTTTCTTGAACACGTGCTATTCGGGGCTTCACCCCTGAAGCCCCATGGTGTTCCATTTTTATAACTTTGTGTGTAAAGACAGGACAGCAGCAAGGCTTCACCAAACGCGGAACCCCAGAGTTCCAAACTTTTACACTACTCTAAAATTGTCCTCCTTGCATAACCATGGTCGGTCAACTTTGATAATCCCTTGCTATGGAGGTTGATGGTAGGTTCCTTCCTGAACACCCAGGGTCGCTGCCAGACCGACAGACCAATGTGGCCCACTGCTCGGGTGGAGGTCGGCTCGTTGGGGCATAGGGTTGTGTTTTGTTCTTTTTTGTAAACCAACTCCACACTTCCCGGAGTGGTGGACCCTCATTTCATGGGAGTCTGGAAGAAGTGGTATATATATATATACATTAATCTATAGATGGATATATCTGGATTTAGGGCCTTGTGAAAATACAACAGATGCACAGATATTAAAGAATTTATATAGTTTGACAAGCTGGGATGCTATCTGCTATAGGCAGCGCTGGCACTGCAAAGCTCTCTGCACTGAGATACACCTTCTAAAACTCCAACACTAAGCCCAGTGCCACCGGTTTGGTCCTGGGCGTTTCCTTCAAAGCCGTATCCACAATCAGAAGGGAGTCACCAGGCAACTATGAAACTTGGGTCTCCAAATGAAAAATCGGTCCCACACATCCATAGTACACCCTCCATATGTTCTCTTCCCACACCACAAATCACCTGACTAATTACACCCAGATCTGTAATTGTTGAATCGCCATGCAGCTACCACTATGATAGCCCACCCACCCACCCACCCACTGGTGCCACCTGGTGCCACCACCCGGACCGATCGCCACTGAACCGATCGCGGACCCAGGCAACGCGGTGAACGCCGCGCGCGCCTCGCAGCGGCATCGGATCATCTGCGGCGCGTGCCGGAGCGTCTTCGCGGTGCCGCAACTCACCGGTCAGCGCTGACCGGGTTTCCCGCCCAACGGATGGATTCGCAAGTGGATCCACATGACTCTTTGGGGAAAATCATTGGACACCAGCAACATGTGTCACTTACATCTGTTTATTACAGTTGTAGATCATGGTAGAGAGAGAGGTGACCCTACGTGTTGTTTATTGTTTTTTGAAGTACATCAAGAAGAAGAAACATTGGATGCCGAAGCCTGGACTTCCATGGATCGGATTCGTTGGGTGTCCTGTTTTGCACACGCCGTGGCGTCTTTCGCCGGCTCGAAAGATGGGCGTTGCGAACACGCGTAAAGAGTTGATCTTTTGCCCATTAGATTACAGTAGGTTGTTTGCTCCGCCATCCTGTCGAGAAGAAGAAGAAGAAGAAGACATCATGTTCACCGATAGGAAACCTGTTTGGAATGCAATGTATTGATTTTTTGTCATTGACGGTTTTTGATTTGTTTGTTTCATGGATTATTTTGGCAGTTGATGTTTGAAGTCTAACTTTCACCAATGACTTTCACCAATGGACCATTTTAGTTATCTCGAGTAGGTTTGAGTTTCTCAAGATGGTGACCGGCTGACAATCAGTACCACACTCAGAAAGGAAAAACCACAGATTGCTACAGCTCTTGTCACAGTTCTTGATCGGATCTTCCCTCGGCCGGTGGAGCTTTTTTTTGCCCAGCCAAGCTGGCGAACACCTCGAAGTCCTCCGCGCACGGTCACGGCCCCAAAAGATCGCCGCGGGGAGTCGGTTTCTGAAAGTGGTGGGTGTTCTCCTGGCAAACCACAGGTGGACACTCTGGGCGGGTTAGCATGCATATGATCCGTGATGTCAAAAGAGGCAGGTGTCACGGTGTCACTAATAAAGCGAGTGTGGGCATATAGCAACACAGACATTCGTGTTGTTTTTGACAGAAGTATGTCAGAACATGTCAGAAACACACAGAAACTCCGGGTGCAACAGGATAAGTGATCAATTCGGGGTTCTCTTGCCCCTTGTTGCGTTTCGGGTTTCCCACCAAGTTGACTCACGCTTACATACAGTATCCCGATACAGGACATGCAGTGACGTACGCCAAAAAAATACTTGAATACCACGAATCATGACCAGAAAAGGTCTCCAAAAAGTACCCCTTGCGCCGACCAGCTAAATTAACCTCCGCCCATTGCCATCCACTGCCATCCACTGCCAACAGCAGCAGTGGTGTCTTGGTGGCTGCCCCAAGCCCTCGGAAGGCTCCCCACGCAGGTGCAGGTGATGTCGGTGCTCTTTGCAGCGGGCCTGTTCATCGTGGCCGTCGAGGACCGAAAAGGGCAGGTGGAACGCTGGCCGATCTGCATGTGGTCCTTGCTCAGACTGGTTTGTTGGCAGGGAACTGGGGAATGGATTGGGTGGAGCATCAAACTGGGTTGGATCAGCTGGGCTGGATGGGATTGGTATTGAAATGGGGATGAGCTGGCTAATCATGCTGGTTTAAGAACTCATTCAGCAAGAGTTGCTTGGGAGCTTGACTTCTTTTGGCATGTTGTTGTCCCTGGACTTTCAGCTTGTTGTCCACTACTGACTTTCAATTGGCTGTCCACTGAAAGCCCGGAAAGCCAAAGCCAAACTCGGTGGTTCAGGATATCGTTGGCATCAACAAGTCAGCGATGATGATGGTGCTTGTGGCAGCCTAAGACCACTTGGATTCGGGACGTCCAGTGCCCGGTGGCTCACCTTTTCTGGCAAAAGGCCTTGTGGGTACGCCAAGATTCCGGAAGGTAAACATTGAAGACTGCTCTTGCAGACCCATCCTCCAATGATCTCCAATGTACTGGTATTTGGTTCATTTTCATGCATTTTCGGTGGTCAAATGCGACACCAATCTGTTCTTAAGATGTCTTAAGATTTTCATTTTGAACCCAGTTTGTAGTGTTTGGTGCAGGGTGAGTAAGATGAAGAGATGGTGGTAAGTGAAGCGGGAAGACTAAGATTGTGTTTCTGGTGACCTGGTGGTGAGAGGAGAAGACCTATTTCATCCAAAAAGCAAGGGGAGAATACACTGTTCCAGACTCCACGACATCTATCCTATCATACTATATATCCTATGACTGATGACAGACTCAATCTGGTCCCACTAAATGATTCCACATGATTCACCAATCAGCAGACTCATCTTTGACACCCTTTTCTTTTGCTTCTAGCGATCCACATGGAACACCCTAAACCCGGCGGCATCCAAACCGGGCCTGGTCACCTTGGTCGACCCTCGCGGTGCTGATCCACCCACGCGCCTTCGGCTCCGCCGCCGCGACCCGCGTTTGACCGCCGTTCGTTGAGGCCTCAGTGATGTGGACCTTCCTGGCCGTGGGGTATCATCCCAACAACTCCAAGGCCCGGGAAAGATCGAGCCGAGCGGACCAGGAGCGGCAGGGAGCGAGGGTGGACTTCGCGCCAAAAAGAGGACCTGAGGAGGGTAGGGTATCGGGTAGTATACGACCTAGGAGGTTTCTAGAACAGGACGGTTGACTGGAAGAGCAACAAGGCATGATTTAGCTGATGAATGCTTAAGGTTGTTTTTGTTGGGATTTGGGGTGGGACGTTCCTGTTGAAGCCGTTGAAGTGAAGTAGGATGGTAGCTTGGAAACATGCTTTGCAGCGGAAAAGAAAACATGTTTCTACTACTCGTACTCGCAGTACGGACCCATATCAACCATCAGGACCATCCTCATCGGCTTTTGCTTGGCGGGTGCCAGCGTCCAAGGTTTATCCCCCGTGTTGATGGGAGGCATTGGGAGGTCAAGGATGAACCGTAAGGCTTTCAGTTTAGCAATCAGGCCTTCATATGTTTGGCATTCACACGGAAAGTTAGGTCTTTGCAAGCTTGCTTGTGATAGCAGGGAGCAACTTCGGAGCTGGATGTGTATCCAGGGTCCTTTTTCACCTCGCAAGCCTTTGTATCGCCAATATACGTGCTATAGTAGTTCAACATAATATATATTGCAATGCTGGCTTGAGTTCCTGTTCAACTCCAGGGCTTTTGAGGGGCTTCCAAAAACAACCGCCTCATCAGCACTCAGTGAAGCTCAAATCATGCAATTTCATCTCTTTCTCATCCGTCTCTCTCCCCTTGAGCTCAAAAGATGCATTTTGTGGCAAATCGTGGACCCCTGGGCCCACCAGTGGCCTACCACATGGCTATGGGCTACTCATCGGCAATCTGTTTGATACTCAATGCCAGGGATATCTAGGGATATAATGCGGAGCTTATTTGATGGATCGACAGTGGATCTTGGTTTGCCCCACCGCCGGATACGCAAATGCACCGTCCGACGATGCACGTCCGAGCAGATAGGCGGGATATATGCAGCTTCATGAAGAGCTCAACCGAGGTCTTCAAGCCCGGTGGCCCAACGTCCGGTTGAGCTGCCAAACGGAAGAGCTCTGTAGAGCAGTCTGTTGGGTTGGATGGGAAAGGCGTTGAATGGGCTGAAGGACCCAATAGTAAAAGGGGTTCAGCTATGTTCAGTTGGGTTTTTAGGAGAGCCTATGGAATTTGCCCTCTTCAAGCCCCATACTGAGATATGGTGGTTTCAGAGTAGATGACACAAACCCAAAGATGTCTGTTATATATGGGGGTCCTTATAAACCACCAAACTTGGGGATTGTGCCATCTACTCTGAAACCACTATCATATGATATATACTAGGACCCAGAAGGGGTGCTAGACATGGACACCCCGTTCCTCACCTCTTTTCGGGGCTATCAATAGACACTGTCCGGGGTGTCCTGGTAAAGAAACATTCCCCGTGGACCCAGAGGACTGGCTCTTGAAACCGAATCAAGACCCAGATGGCTGGCTCTATCTGTACAGTATACACCCACCGTTTCCCCCTTCGGTCAGCAGCACGTGCTGATGCTTCTTGCAGGAAGTGGGAAGCGTGTTGCTGTTCCTCTTACCTGCCATGGGCTTGGGGCCCAGATTGACGAAGATTGAGAAGCTGTTCGAATTAAGCTCACGGAAGCTCACAAAGTTCTTCATCCTTGCGTCGGGGTAGACGCAACTAAGTGAACCAATTGCAACTACTCGCAGTTTCACATGAAGTGTGTTTGTCCACTCTCAGTCGGAGGGTGTTGCCGAAAGATGTGGTGCTTGAACTGCTGCAAACACCAAAGTGGGAGATGTGATGATTGACGTTTGAAGCATGCAGAAACATGGATCATTCCTACATTCCCGTTTGCGAGTCGGCACCCGCTTAGTTTTTTTTTGGCTCTCCAACACTTGAAATGGTCTCATGTGAGGAGTTCTACAAAAGAAACTGAAGGATACTGGCGCCCAAGGGCGCAGCAAGCATGAGAATGCCTCCAGATATTTGGTCACATGTCCATCTAAATCAAAGTTCACAGTTCTTGATGTATTACCGATTTGACTTGACACACCAACAACCTTTGTTTGGCGCCATGGCTGGTTCCCTTCCTGATCTCTCAACCGAAGTGATGTGGCCTTCCCGCATGGTTGAAAGGCTGCCCCTTCAGCAGCTGAGTCAGCTTCGCAGGGTTTGCAGGCCACAAAGGGGGGTTCATCAAAATGCATCGAAATGCAACACATGGAGTATATTTCCCACGATGTCATTGCAGAAGCCTGTTGTCCAGGGGAATCTATCCTTGATTTTTTGTGGATCTACTAGGTGTCATGTCCGCTTCCTTCTTCCTTTTCTGTGGGACTGTCGTCAGCCTCAGTGAACAGGCTGGTGTGATCACGAAGCAATGATTACAGTGAATCACTCACCAACATTCATATGTTTGGGGGTTGAGCTACTGCCTGTAACAGTCGGCAAACAATTAGCCCTACCGTCATCCACTGCTAAAGTTACACCGATATATACTGGTATACCATGGTATACCCAACATATGTGTTTTCTATTGCTGCTGCAAAAAAACATATTCATGTCATCCTGCACCTTCGTCCAGCCTCAGTTTTTTTTTTTCAAGATGGCTGGCCAGGTCACTCCAACGGACTTGTGACATG